CACACACATTTAATATTCAGTTTAATAACTGAAATATACATTTTGAGACTCACTTATTTATTGATCGGATGAAAGAAATACTTATTGACACAAACATTAATAAAATAAAAATATTCCTCCATACTTACTCTTTAATTATATAATTCTGTTTCTACACACAATCATACCAACTCCAAGCGACTACATTTTCATAATAATAGATGCAGTTTACAAACTGTTCCAATAATATTTATATCGGGCCTTAGCTGGTAAATGAGCAGGCTCTATTTTATTCTAAGACTGTTCATCATTGGTCCTTGCTAATATTCTAAACCAATTAGAATGGAGGACAACATCACATTCTACCAGGGTATGACCCAATACACTTGACTAATAGCAGAACTTAGTGATAGAAGTATTTATCCACAAATGTATATCTATCAACTTATTGATAGTGATTATTAAAACACATTGTTGAGCTATCTGTGTCCATGCAAGTGTTCCCCTGGACATCCATATTTGTTGTACATGTACCGACAGAACTATGTACTGTTGTGTTATCAAAATTTTCGTCCATGCATTTAATAAACCCACTAAAGGAAATATTCATTCACTGACGTGATTAGTAATCAACTAATTAACTTACTAATCAACTCACACGTGTGAATATTTATCATCAATCACACCAGTTAGTAAAACTGACGAGAAAATTATTCAAACATGCATGATATTCGACCATTAAGTGTAATAGAGAAAAAATTACCTTACGTTTCCAGACAATAATAAAAAACACTTTCAGTTTCATCAGAGCTAGTAGTACAAGAACTCTTGTCTAAGATATTAAGTGTAATAGCCAGACAAAAGAATTCAAAATTAAAACAAAATATAAAAGATTCTGAATTTAAAAACAAAGAGATAATTGCTTAAATACGAAAATTTGGAACAAATAAAACTAGAAATTATGTAACATTGATGGTTGGTTTAAGGCGAGACTTCACATATTCAAAAAAAATTCTTTATGTCAGAATTTTACTGTATGAGAACTTTAACATGTAATATTATTGACTTAAAAAAACAAACTTGCATGAGTTTACATGTAATTCTAATTAATAAAGAGCATATACATAGAAAACATATGCAAGAAAAAAAGAAATCAAAATTTTATGTACTCTTCCAGAACTTATTAAATAATCACGGCAGATATGCATTAAAAATTCTTGTATTAAAAACAGAGTACCAAGTTTTACTTTGTTGTGTCTCTGTTGAAAATATACAGTTGAGAAAAACATGTACTAAATGCTAACTTATTTAGTAAGACTTATGGACTCTGATTTAGTGGAGAATAGAAAGGTCAGTTATTTGTTCGTAAAGTAACCCTGGGCTTGCGTTTTCATGCATTTGAATCAGAAAAATGCTTTCTTCAAGAAATATGTGGAGAAAAGATGTAAAACACTGGAGGATTAATCATGTTAAGAAAATATTTTAGGAAGTAAAGAGAAATAAGATTTTGTTTGTCCTTCGTGTGCCATTATATCCTGGTGGCTGCAAAGAGTATAATATCCCTTCGTGATGACTGTATTATTGTATATGTGTACTTTACACTGAGAAATGTTGTTTCTACAAAAGTAAAAATACAGCATTCTTAAGATACAGAACTCTGAACTAATATGATAATTTTGTATTTGATTTTCTAATATAGGCCTCTGTTGTCAGCAGAACAGAACACGCTACTTCATGAGGTGTTGGCAGTGATGAATCAAGCTGTGGGGTGAATAAAATTACCTAATTTTAGTTTGATATATCTTACTTGATGATGAAATACAATGTAACTAAAGAAAACGTTTTTCTTCAAGCTTAGTCCTTCCATGAAGTTTTAAATTATACCTGGAAAATATTAAAATACAATAATATTTTAAAAAATAGTAAGAGTTGTGCAGTCGACTTCATTGTTGTGTACAACTAGCGTATTAATTCTTACTTGTTAAAAACAACTTTTTATAACATAGCATTTGTGTTCATTTAATGATTACTGTAAACATTCCAGGGAGCTGTAATAAAGGATATTGTGTTAAACAAGTTCATAATTTGGGGTTTTTCTCCAATAATAACACAAAGTGTGTGCATGCATATATATATATATATATATATCATATCATATAATTGGCTTTCTCTTGAAGACTTTCCTTATGTGTACAACAAAAATATACAGGATACAAACATTCAGACTGTATGAGTCACATAATATTTGAGTAGTATGCGTACAAACCTTTACAATTTTGTACTTGATTTTAAATTGAAAACTTACCATTGTGTTTTTATAATAGCTATAATTGTGACCTATTGTATAACACTCTAATTTCCACTGTTTCTATGGAAATTGTAAAAGGAATCATGGGCCTTAATTTGACAAATTCTCCACAGTTTCTTCACTGTATATGGATCTGGGCTTCCAAGACTTAAGTTCAAGTAGACTTAAGTCTATGGGAGCTGCTGTGAAGGACTTTAAATACATGCATTTGAATGGAATTGCAGTGATTCCAGTTTCTTCAGCCTTTTTTCTCACAAGAGTGGATGATGGCAATGCTCAGAATTGGTGGTGGTGTTCTGTATGCACTATTGTATAGGTTTTTCTACTTCTCTGATAAACAATAAATTTTACGCCCATGGTGGGCAGAGCACAGATCGTCCATTGTGTAGCTTTGTGCTTAACTTCAAACAATCCTATTGATACAATTAAAAAGAGGATTTCATCCATAATTCCAAGATTGTTAGTAATAAACGTTGGAATGTGAATGTTACTCAGAAGAAGTACTACCGGTGTTTCACAATATACGAATTCTCAAACAATGTTTTTGAACTTGAATTTTTATAAATTACAAACTTTAAAAAAAATACAATTGACAAGTTTTTAAAATAGTAAGTTGGCAAACAAGGATTTATAAGTGTACTAAAGTGCTTATTTTTGGGGGAACATATTACATATTTTGACAAAACGTTGGTGTGTCGTCTACAGGTTTAAAGACATCAATGTTCTGTCTAGACATACAGTATGCCCCCCCCCAAAAAAAAACAAGAACAACAAACAAACTTTGTTATGCTTATAAGTTGTTGATTGTCAACTTATTATCCTATGCCTTTATTTTGACTTAATTGTGAAGGTTATCTTAATATTGCCAAATACATTTATACATCATAACTTAATCTTTCACTAATAACAAAATACAGAACCCGGATTTGAATATTAACATCGTTAATCTAACATTTATGTTCAAAGTTTTCAACAGGACATACTCTTTTAACTTTGTCGTTATATGCTTTCCATTTCTGAATACAAATATTACAAAAACCTATGTTGCAACATTTACTGTTTGTAGTTTATTAGATACATTAGAATCTGTTCATGTTTACAAATTTCATGGACATGGCCCATAAAGTTAAACTTAATTTTCATAAAGATAGAATTTCCTCAAACATTTTGCAACAGAGATTAGTTAAATTTTGCGGGAAATTCAATAATCTTGTAACAAATTATGGGTTTCATAGTTTTACTGAATATTATGACCTCATCAAAATTATCACGTCTAGACGTTAATTTTTTTCACTAATTATTTAAGGTAATAATGAATCACAATAACATTAGTTTACACTAATCGCATTGTTGTATCCACCATTTTGTTGCTTCCTTTTCTAAATGTCCTCCGATGAATTCGGTAGGACAAGAGGTAAGTTTGTGAACTTACAAAGGGATTTGATTCCCTTACGGTGGATATAACAAATAACCAACAGTGGCTTTGTTTTAAAACAAACAAACAAAAACATTTACTAAATCTTATTATTTTATAATTAGTATAAACTTTCTTGAATTTTATCGTGCATAGTATTCAGGCGCATACATAATATTTCTTGTCCGCTTTTATCTTGTATAATAAACTCTCTTTTGTTGTTTTTTTTAAAAAAGTACCCACAGCTAAAGAACAGCATTACAACACTCGCTCGGCCTGCGAGGATTCATTTAACATGAAACAGCGGTAATTTTATTGTTGTTGTTGTTTTTCTGTGTTTTCTGAGGCAGAGTAATAATTTATCCGAATTACTAAATAACTTTGAAATTGTTGATGACAGACTATTTGATTTTATCAATAGAAAGACAAATTTAAAGAGTACTGAAATTAATTGTTTATACTGTTATAACTTCAAAGCCCTTAATTCTCTTTCTACATTCAGTGGAATTGACAATGATTAATACCGGTTCTTATTTTGATAAAATTGCAGTATTTCATTAAATGCTCTTTTAATGTATTTCATAACATTAGATATCAAACGTAATTGACAAATCCTTGGTCGTAGCTCTTGCAGCGCCGGCAATAAATCCGCACTTGAACGATGTGTTTAGGTAATCTTAGAATCCAAAATAATTTGGATATTATATTATTTAGTTTATTTATTATGTTTTTAACTTAAAAGATCAAATGCAGTTTATTAATATTAAAAATATATAACTGTACTTTTAAAATGTAATTAGCTTTTTTGTTTATCATAGTTTGTTTACTCCCTAGAGAATGCATAGTTTTACTTTTAGTTTATGAATAAACAAATTTTTGTTGAAATCTTGATTCTTTTAATGCAAAGTAAAACTAGATTTTCTGTATATATAATCACACTTGCAACTACGGCTAAAATAGCTATAACTGTAGCATTTTACAATTTAAATGATAGCAATTTTGTGTATAATACTTTGTAATTTCCATCAGTTTTTCATAATTTGTATTTCTTCACATCTGATTATTAAAAAATAGCTACTTGTTTGTATGTTAATGAGTACAAAATTGCATAATAGGCTATCTGTGCTGTGGCCACTGCAAGTGACAAAACACTATTTTTTAGCGGTTTAAACCCTCACACTTCGAACTGAGCAACCGGTGGTGATAAATATGAACCGAATGGATAATAACAGACAAAAATTTCCAGTTTTATAAAAAACAATTGATTTTGTAGGATTTTTATGCACAGCGCTATTATTATTATTATTATTTTGTGTGTGCGAAAATACTAGTCGTCGCATTGATGTGTTTCTAAAAGGAACTTTGGGAAGTGCGCATGCGTTCATATTATATAGAAGATGGCGTTAAACGGTGGAGTGGTGTTGTGCCGGGTAAGATCATAAGTTTAGTTTTTATTATCAGAAAAAATTAAAACTCATTAAATAATTATTCTTATTATTTTAGTAATTGTTAATGGTAGAGTTTCAAAGGGTTTTTACTTAATACAAACACAATTTGGGGATGCGAATCTTGAAATGTTTACTTTTATTTAAAGCACAGTAAAACTAATAGTAATAGCAAATTTGAAAGTGAGAAACTGAGACTAGGCCCCCTTAGTAATACTAATAGGCTAAAAATACACTGATTTTACACCATTAGGACTGTGGACTCTAGACGAAGACGTATGAAAGTTAGCATTAAGTTTTTCGTTTACCATTTATAAATCAAACATATTTTTCCCCGTCTTTTTTATAAATGTTAGACAGTTTCGTTGTTTATTATGATAATTATTGAATGTATTTAGAAAGATTAACGCCAGTAATGAACGATTCACGTGATGGCAAAATACTACTAATACTACATTACTGTTCAGCTTCATCGAGGTCACCTTTATGAATACGAGCGACAAATATCAGAACGAATAAAAGTAAAAATAAACTTACACAGTTCTATCCTATGAAACAAAAATTTAACAATGAAAAAAATAAAAAACTTAAACATCCCCTATCACCAAAGTGTTTTCTAAATGAAAATAAATGTTCCAAAAATACAAATAAGAGAAAAAGGCTTCAGTACTTCTTAAACTTTAATGGATGGTGGATTTAACTTGTATAAAACTTTTGATAGGTTTATTTTTTTTAAAACATGCATGTTAAAATTCATATTCTTACAAACAGTTGCTGATTTGATTTTATCATTCCATAATAAGTTATATGTTTGATTAGTATAATAATTGGATAATATATTCCATGTTATTCAATTACTCCAGTTTTCTGTTACAATAATCAAGAAATAATTATTTC